GGCATCCTGTCCTGGGGGCCACTGAGTCCCCCACCTTCTCCAGCCCACGGACCCCCATCGGCTCCGCTCAGCACTCTCAGAGTGTGCCTCCCCCACCCCCGGCCCCCGCCTCCATACCGCCCCCAATCCCAGTGGCTCTCAACTTCGCTCCAGTCGCCTTCCCTGACTCCGCCCCAGCAGCCCCTTCTCCTACTCTCTCCATCTGGCTTTCTGTCCCCCACTTATGTCCCGCCTCCCCGAATCCAGGTGTCTCGAATCCCCTAGAACCCCTCGCCTGGATTCTCCAGTGAGAGAGGGAGGGCTAAAGATGGGACCCGCGATCGCACGAAACAAGTTGAGGGTCCGAGAGCCCTGTGTGTGTATGGGGGGTGTCGGCGGCCGGGCCGTGTGCGTTCTCATGCTGAGAAAGTGCGTGGGGTCGCCGCTGACTCCGTGGAGCACACCCTTCCCAAGGGACTCTCGGAAACCTGGGCTCTGAGCCGGCCGCCATGCCTCGTGTCTAACGTGCAGGGTCCCAGGGCCACCACTCTTGGACTTCAGACGGGACCGGACGCAGAGGGAGGGGTCACAGGGCGCCCGCGGGGCAGGAAGGATGCAGGCCGCACCCGCCCCCTGAGTCTCCGCTCCGCCAGTCTCTTCCTCTGGCCAGAGAGGACCTGAGCGCAAAGAAGCAGGACCCAAGGTCCAGGTTGAGGAGAGGGAGCTGGTGGCCTTTCCCGGCTCAGCCCCCCTCCTCCTCCTCCCGGCCCCCAGCTTCCACCCCCCCACACAATGAACAGCTTGTTGAGAATTTGCATTTTATGAAAATCTGGTAGAAAGACAAAGGGGTCTCTCTGTGCTGCCAGCCCTTCCTCCTTGGCCCGTTTGGGAACTGTCCCCACCCTGAGGCTAATCTGGTTCTGGAGGAAGCGGGCCCCCTTCTCCTCCTTGCCTTGGGGCAGCTTGAGGAGAGGGTTAACTAGAGCGCAGACCAGGAAGGCTGTGTGGGGGCATGGGGAAAGGACTGGACTTTGTGGGCACCATCCAAGGACCACCATGTAGGGAGGATGGCTGCTGTTAGGTTATCAAGGCTCCTGGGCAGGCGGGAACCTTCAGCTCTGTCACCCCTTCCTGCAAAAGGAACCCCAGGCTCTCCTCGTAAGCGCAGTGAGGCTTCTGACAAGTTTGACATTGGAGGTTTTTTGTCCCAGCAAGAAACAAGTTATGTATGAGACTGTGAAGAGACCCAGATGCAGGTGGGCACAGCACAGTGAGGGCTGGTGGGGGCCACTCACGGCTGGTATCTACAGCTGGCCCCTGAAACAGCTGTACTTTTGGAGACTTGGCACCTCTGTCCTTTGCTCTTCCATTTTCCAGGCCCAGGCCCCTGACCCCACCACTCTCCAGCCACTGGCTGTGGCTGAGAAATGAGGTAGATCTGACTGCTAGGTGGTACCTGGAGGGCATGGTAAGAGGGCCCAGGGCCCTGTGCCCTTCTTCCAGTCCCACCTGGTAAGAGCCTGGCCACAGCTTTCTGGGTCTGGAAGGCCTGAGCTCCTTCGGACAGCCTGGAGACCATTGTAGAGCATTGACCCACCCTGCCCCCATGCCTGGAAACCAGTGAGAAGCTTAGAGGTTCACGCACCTGGAAGCAGGAGGACGGTTGTGTGCCTGAAGTCTCAGGTGTGGGGGTACAGCCCAAGAGAAAGCTCAGGAGTGATTCTAAAAGCACACTCAACCAATAGTTACCCCAGCACCAAAGCAGGTCCGTGGAGTTGGGAAGGGACAGAGAGATAAGCAGAAGTGGGATGCTGTGTCCAGAGCAGAAGCCCAGGGGAGGGGCCTTCCAGAGAAGGGCTCTCAGCATCTGCTCGAGGATACGCCCTCACCTGCTTCTTCCGACTCTCTTCTTTCCGCCCAGGGCTCAGGATTCCGCTGGAAGAATCTCAGCCAGAGTCCTGAACAGCAGCGGTGACACAGCTGCAACCCTCCAAGCCCTGCCACAGTCCAAAAGACTAAGGTGCTGGGGTGAGGGGGAGCCATCCCAACCCAGCCATGGGGAGTTATTCTCCATCCTTTAATGTGCTTTCCCACTGGGGGTAAGGGGCAGGTGGAGATGTGGGCTGTGAAGAGTAGCAGAGAGAGGAGGTGGGAACTTTTGAGTCATTAGGTGCTTCTCAGCCCACCCCCAGTCCCTACCACCCCCATCCCCCCTCCTTGGGGAGATCTGGATCAAGCAGAGTTAGGAGTGAGGGAGTGGAAGTCTGTGGGGAATGTCCTAAGTCAGACCTCTGGGCTCCCCTGAGCCTCCCAGCCTCAGCAAATGCATGGACCAGATCTTAGTGGAGCCAGGTCCAGCTGTTCGGACAGGCTACCCTGCCTCCAGAATCTCAGTGCTGTGCTGGTTCGGTCCTCCAACAGCCCCTTTCAGAAGAATCTGCGTGATGGGCAGACATAGGTGCTAGTCCCAGGACCTGGGACCTGACAGTGTCTGCTTCCTCTAAAATGGATCAGCAGACTCTAGGGCCTGCTGGTCAGTCTGGCCTGTTTGGCCTTTGACCTTAGAATCAATTTTATATCTGTGAAGGGTATTAAGAGTGAAAACAAGAACAATATATAATAGAGGCCAGATAGGACCCGCAAAAAAAGCCTAAAATATATACCGTCTGGCCCTTTGCAGAAGTTTTGCTGCCCTTCCAGAAAAGCAGAGAGCATTGGTGTAGACACAGAACTTCAGTCACTGGGCCCTCCCCTTCCCCTCCCCACCCCCATGCATACTGGGGGAGAGGCCTGCTGTTCAGAGTAGGAGGGGCTGCCCAGCATTTGGGGGAGTGTGTAGGTGGGGCTGGAGCACAGGGGCCTGGTGTCCGGAGTCTGAGGCTGTGAGACTGGAAGGGGCCTTTGGAGGCTGTTGTAACTCTGCTTCTGGCTGGGCGGGAAGGAAGGAGGTGGGGGTGGGCAGAGGAAACTGGGCTCCCCCAGCAGGCGAGGACCTGGAGCAGCTCCAGACCATTGTGTCCAGTCGGCAGGCCTTCAGTACAGGCCTTCAGTGCGGGAAGGGGCGGCCTGGAGACTCCCCTCCCCCCCAGCCTTCACATCTGGTGGGCTGGCCCCACCACAGCTGGGAGGAGCAGCTGTGGTCTGTGCTCAGCCTCGTGACTGGCCTCTGGGGGTGGGGCCTGTCCTCTCCCCAAAGCAGAGGAGGCTCCAGCCTGGGGCCGAATTTGGGGCCTCAGCTACTCAGTAAGTGGTATTCTGGGGCTCACTAAAAAGCTGGGGTGTGGCAGAAAGACTCCGCTAGCCCACCCCTGTGGGGGACAGCCATTTTGGGGGCCTCCTTCCCCCACACCAAAGGCTGGGCTGATTATGTGTGGCTCCATGATGTGGAGTTCATTTGGCGATGGGAAGGACATTCCGCCATTCTGTGATGAGGGTGAGCTGTCATTGGAGACTGGGAGTCCTGCTGGGAGGCCTAGACCAGACTCCAGCATCCGTGGACACCCAAGTTATGAACCTGCCATGGTCCTTTTACTCCGAATCGTCTTGACCCCTTTCTCTTGCAGGAAAGTGCTGACTTTGGAGAAGGAGGATAACCAGACCTTTGGCTTTGAGATTCAGGTGGGAGAAATAGGGTACAGAGAGCTGAGGGTTTGGGAGGCCAGGCTGAGGGATGGGTGGACCCAGTGACTCCTAGGCTGAGTCCCCTGGTCTGTTACAGACTTACGGCCTCCACCACCGGGAGGAGCAGCGCGTGGAGATGGTGACTTTCGTCTGCCGAGTTCATGAATCCAGCCCTGCCCAGCTGGCTGGGCTTACACCAGGTGGGGCCCGAGCCCAGGACACAGGGCTCTGGGAGGAGGTATGAATAGTCCCAAGCAGAGGGGGTAAAAAATCTCCCCTGAAATGAGTTCTCCTTACTCCTCCTACATTGAGGGGGCTAGAAAGAAGAATAAATGGAACCCAAGCTATGGATCCAGGCAAATTCGCCGCTTACTATGTGATCTGGTGCAGTACCGTCTGCAGAATGGGGGCAATAAGATGAACTCACATCATGGCGTGGAGAGGGGGCTCCTGGGCGCAGAGTTAGTGCCTGGTAAACGGTGGATGTTGCTACTGCTGTTCTGCTTCCTCCTGGCAATCTGGCCATCGGGCATGGGCAGGAGTGGAGAAGTAACGATTTTCATCCCCAATGTCTGCTTGATATTAGGGATCAGGACCTACCCTGCCCCACCTGGCCCAGCTCTGGGGTGCCTGTATTACTTCCTCTATAAAGGAAATGATGCCTCCAGTAGATGAGCCCTAGGAACGAGGTCACAGGTTCCAGGAGGGGGCAGCCTGGGACTGCATGAATTGAACCCCCGGTTTTGTATCACCATTTTTATCCTTAAGCTCTTACCTCCTTGCTCACTTACCAGCAGCGCTGGCAGCCAAGTGGTGTGTGGCAACTTTGCTAAGTTGTTTCACATTCGCTTCCTTCTCCATCATCCCTGTGTAGCCACAGCAGGGATCCATACTTCCTTCCTACAGGGAAGGAGTCCTTAGAGACACAGCACACCCTCTGCACATGGTATCAGGCACGAGCCTCTCAAGCCTGGGGCAGTGTCAGTTCCCAGCTGGGTACTATGCACCTCGCCTCCTTCTCATCGTAACTGTCTCATGACAGGTGTGGCAGGACAGAAAAAGTCAACCCTGGGGGAGCCCAGGGAGCCTTTGAGGACAGAGATCCTGAGAGTCACCTGAGGGTCTGGGTGGCTGAGGGGCCAGCTCCACTGAGGTCTGAGGCCCCAGCTCAGGTGCTGGGCAGTGACAAGCTGGTAGTCACTGTGGGCCAGGAAGGGCAGCTTCTGTGAGTATGAGTTCTGGATGGGGGAAGAGATATTAGAGGAGGTTTCCCCAGAACTGTGAGGAGTCAGGGGAGGGAGTTCAATATTCCTCGGGGTTATTATCCCTCCCCATTCTGGCTAAGGTAGGGAGCTAGAATTCTCCCATCATGCCCCAGGGAGCAATCACTGACCCACTCCCCTCTGCCTGGCAGGGGATACCATCGCCAGTGTCAATGGCTTGAATGTGGAAGGTATCCGGCATCGGGAGATTGTCGACATCATTAAGGCGTCTGGGAACGTGCTCAGGTATGTCTCGTGTCTGGTGCCGGAGGATTCGTGAGCTCAGCTTCTGGGTGTTTCCTCAGCCTGCAGGCTCACACAGCCTTTAATGCCCCCACTTCCTCAGACTGGAGACTCTGTATGGGACAGCCATCCGAAAGGTGGAGCTGGAGGCTCGTCTGCAGTACCTGAAGGTAAGGGGGCCCAGATAATGTCTAGCCTACACCCTCCTCTTCCCCAGCCCCTGCCCTTTAAGTGCCACACGTTTTTAAAGAGGGGGAGGGTCACGTATCTGTCTGAACCTGAAGTTTCTTCTGTCTACTCCCTGATCCTTTGGTGCGCACCCACATTCGGCTAGTTTCTTGCTAGCTCCTGACAGTGGGGTGGGGGCTGTTTCTTGCAGCAAACCTTGTATGAGAAGTGGGGAGAATACCGGTCCCTCATGGTGCAGGAGCAGCGGCTGGTGCACGGTGAGTAGAACGCTGTGAAGGGCCCTGACTCCCACAGATACCCAGCCCTGCTTCCCCTCCCCACGGTGAAGGAAGGCTGGCTGAGCTCCTATTGGTCCCAGTATGCCAGGGGCTGATGCACACACAAATTAAATGTTCTCACAGTAGCCATCAGAAGGCCCGGATTAGGTACTGCGTCCTCTCTTTGCAGAGAGGACCCACCCCACCCCACCCCCAAGGCCTCAACGAGCGCTATTCAGTCTTTTCCATGGCCCTTGGGTCCTAAACGGTCCTCGTGAGCATTTGGGTAGTTATTCCTGAGATATAGAGGCGTAAAGTTGGGGGGCGGGGGAGGTGC